TTTCCTTCCTTCAAAGATCCAGTTTCCTCCAAAAAAATCACCCTAATTAAGAAGAAAGAAGTACTCAAATACCAAATCTCAGATTATCCCCATCAATTAAAGAACAGATCACAGGAAGGAATTTTCTCCTTGATCTTAGCTCATTATTAAATAGCACCTTGTTGACCTTTCTTCTAATCTAGTCATCTTGTACTCCACAGCTAAACACAATATGAATATACTTTCAGCAACATTACTTTTAGGCAGCAATTTAAAACAAAATGTCATCTGCATGGGAAAAATTCAAAGCAGGATATTTCACTTCCTTTTTAATTATATAACATTCTATTTCATAGGATAAGTATTTTTTTTACACTTAGAAGTAATTTGTGACTCTTTTCTAGCTTATGCCAGAAATGGCTCATATAACCTCTATTCTGCCTTTATGGTCTTCTTCCATTAGGTAACTGGAAATACTAAAGGTAACATATTTCTAGTGAGAAAAAAAAAACTGTTGCCCACTCATCAAGGACAAGAAAATTCCATAGTACTATCAATGCATAATTCAAAGCTTCCAATAAATTTATTACCTGATTACTTGGAATTAAGCAGTTCTATATAAATTGATCCAAAATTTATCTATAAGTACCCTCTGTGTACCAACAGGTCTTCACATCCTCCTTACTACTAGGAACTATTTTTTTAGCTGATTCAGATATTTTGGTAGCTTTGTAATGTTCTTCCCAATAGCAGATTACTGAGAGCCATTTACTATGATCATCTTACAAATGAACTGACTACAAGATGGCCCAATTTGATCTCAGAATTAAACATGCTCTCCCATAAAATTGATGTCTTTTTCCTCTTATATGGAGATACAATTTGGGACAGCTGAAGAACAGCAACTGTATAACAGCTCACATTTTTGTGTAGCAACAGCAGCAGTAGCAACAGAAGTCAAAAAGAAGCTAAGGGGAAAGCTTAATGCCCATATATAACCTGGGAACACAGTTTTCAGCTTAAAAAGAAATACTTAATAGAAGACTTTGAGTGACTACTTCTTGATGGAGACTAATTTCTCCCACCCATCATACTAAAATTACTTTCATATGCATGTGTCTTCTATTGGAAAAATAAATGAACATTTCTGCAACTAATATTTTTCTAGATATTAGTCAATTTCCTGAAACAGATGATGAGAGCTTTAAGAAAACAATCTTTAATAGTAGACTTTATCTAGTCCTAAATTTAGAGAATGCAAATACTATGGACATTATGAATATTCTGTGCCAACAACCTCACACTTGGCCAATCAACAACAGTCCTTAAAAGTACATGCTGTAGATTTTGGCATGAGATTTTGGCATTTTCTAATGCTTCCAGGCCCTAGGTGCAGTCTCAGATCCATCTTTGCTGTTTCCTGAGCCAGTAATGATGGCTGGTCTTGCCATGGGCATTACATTGAAACATAGTTTGTGTTGTCATTTCTGAAAATTGTACACTGGACAAAATCATTTCTAAAAATTATATAACAGACAAAATCAGGTTTGTTTCAATATATGCCCAGAATAGATGTTTTTTTTTTTTTTAATTTTAGTTATAGATGGACAGAATGCCTTTATTTTATTTATTTTTATTTGGTACTTAGGATTGAATCCAGTGCCTCATGTATGATAGCTCATGCATACTAGCTACAGCCCCATCCCCCCAAAGTAGATTTAAAATTGAACCTGTGAGGGAGGGTGTAACTCAGTGGGAGAGTGATTGCCTATCATGCTTGAAGCCATGGGTTGGATCCCCAACACTGCAAAAAAGAAAGGGAAGGGAAGAGGAAAAAGGAGAAAAGAAGAAAAAACTTGCACCTGTTAAGTTTTTTGCCTTGTTTGATAAGAAGAAAGTTTCATCTCTTGGTTCTTCTCTTTGGTGCATAAGGAAGGCCCTAGGTATTCATATTTGTAGGAATCCCCGTGAAAAGGATTCCTGTCTACAATGAACTGCATAGACATCATTATAACTGGCTTCACATCTGGCACTAAACAGTCATAAATGCTAATGAATAAAGGACACAATCATTCTTCATTTTTGACATGGGGGAAGGGAAGCAAAGGGAAAAATAGAAGCTCTGAGTTCCACAGGATATACCACCAAGAGCAACCATGTGAGCTTGAACCCAGATCTCTCTAATTAGAAAGGCAAAGGACCTCACAATCTACATGAAGCAAAACTTGCACTGCAGATTTGCCAACACATTGTTTTTAAGAGAGAGAGAGAGACAGAGAGAGAGAGAGAGAGAGAGAGAGAGAGAGAATTTTTTTAATATTTATTTTTTAGTTTTTGACGGACACAGCATCTTTGTTTGTATGTGGTGCTGAGGATTGAACCCAGGCCGCACATGCCAGGCGAGCGCACTACTGCTTGAGCCACATGCCCAGCCCACAAGTTTCTTAATATTCTTCAAAAGATAAGTCAATTCAAATAGGGCTATTATAAATAAAGTAAAAATTATTTAGTTTCAGAGGAGGAGGACTAGGATTAATCCCAGGGGCACTTTACTATTGAATTACATCTCTAGACTTTATATTATATTTTGAGAAAGGGTCTCACTAAGTTGCTCAGGTTGGTTTTGCACTGATGATCCTCCTGCCTAAGCCTCCTGAGTCATTGGTATTACAAGCATGTGCTACTGTACCCAGCTATTTTTTATTTTTGAGACAAAATTTTAAACATTCCACATAGGAGTGCAGTAATGTGATATTTCTCTTAATGTAATGTCCTCGCAATACTCTTGCCTCAGCCTCCCGAGTTACTTGGATTATAGGTGTGTACCATCATGCCTGGTTAAATAATTCTATTTTCTATATAAAGTAATATTATTAACCAAAGTGTAGGGCTGGAGAGGAGGCAAGAGTCCAAAGAACAGCCCCTCCAATATACATCAGCTCTGGGCAATTTAGGATGTCTTTTATTCATCCCTTACACAGTTTTTCTGTATTATGAAACAAAACCACACAGATAAGCACAAACCAAGGCCAATCTACTAGTCTTTTCTGCCTTTACTATATACAGCATAAACAGAAATAGGAAGACATAACAGGAAAAGACCAACTGTGCTTTCAAACCATTTCTACTCCCCAGACCTAAAAGAAGTTTTGTTTCAATATTGCAACTGCTATTGTCCTGGAGGAGGATGCAAAGGAATGGCATGCAGAGACTCAAACATTCAAACACTTCAACTTTAAATGGAATACTTTTTGGTGTAATGATTCTTCAATAAAGCTGACTTCATTTGGCCACACTAAGAAAACAAAACAAAGATCCCCTACTAAGCCACAGCAAGTAAAAATAAAGGGGCAAATCATTGAAAAATTGATCTCTGAATGATATCTGTGTATCAATGGCAACATTCCAGATATAGATATAAACATATACATACAGACACACACATATATCCACACATATATGTGTATATATTGTTAATTACCTCTCTCCTCTTAAATAATAAGCCAAGATGTAAGACAGAATGCATAGAAAGTATCTTGAGGGGTTTTTGTTTTTAGTTTGGATTTTTCTTGAATGAAACTACCATAATACAGGTGACTTTTTAAATTGCTAACAGAAAAAAAATTTCTAACAGATTTTTTTTTCCTTACAGAATCTGCTACAGACTTTATGACATAACCAGGTAAAGAAAATGGGATCTAGTCCAACAGGTTACATTTGCCAGTAAGTAATCTCTCCAAGTCTTATTTCAGTAACAATCAATCTGAACCAAGATTCAAAGCGAAAATGTGACATGAAAGGTAAGGGAAGGAAAGGCAGCTATGAATGATATGCCAAGTGGGAGAAATGATAGTTAAAATATGACCCACAAATACAGCCAAAAAAGTCACAATAACACTAAAGTGATTTAAATACATAAGTCTATATAAGAGGGGGAAAGCCAGAATATTGCCCTACCTTTACCATTCCAGAATGCTTTGGATTTTAGCACTGTTTCTCCACTTTATAGACTGACCCACTTTCATGAGAGACTTATTAACTGAAGAACACCACTATCTGTTAGATATTTCATTATCAAGTATTCTTACCTAAGAAAGCAAATATTAACCAAACACCAAGCCCCATCCAGTATTTATTGCTTTGAAAATTAAGTTTGTAGTTTATTGCCTAGATTTTATACTTAATGAGAGAATAAAGTGCATACATTTAATTCTGAGAAATAACTGAATTAGAAGCCAGTAGAAAGCCCCAGAATAATCTTTTGTTTCCACATAATACATTCCTCAATGCCTTCTGGAATGACTACAGACAGAAAATCAATTCTTTAAATGTCATGCATGGTTTGTAATTATAGTTAGAATATATAGTGAAAATGAAATATATATATTTATGCATATATATGTATAGCCATCCAAATGTTATTAAACAATAATTAAGCTTTGATTTGGATATCTACTGATATCTCTTTATACAATCATGGCTGCCTGCCAGACCACCATGTTCTAGGAATAGATACTTCTTCTCAAGAATTTTTTCTTCAGGCAATTAGCTAATATTTTTGAACTTACAGCCTTTAAACCTCTGCCTGTTAGGGATTTGGTAGAAATATGAAGAACTAATGCTTTCTGATATTTGTCAAAACTTTTCATTTAAATTATATTGCTATACACTCAATTAGGAGGCAAAGGATATATATTTTAAAGGTTTCCTATCTTTTCATTTGTAAATGTTTGCTCCCAAGTGTTTATTCACTAGCGAATGTAACCAACTCTAAGTAGGCCTTTAACATTTCATTGTCCACTGAGAATATACTGGTCATTGAAGTGTAACAAAATTTCACTGGTCTCCCAACATTTTCTCAGTGGTAGGCTAAAACCTCATTTTTATTTTGGCTACTTTCCAATATAGCTAGAATGCAAGTGCTTTGTCTAAAGATATCCCCCAGTTAAAGGCACAGATGCCCTCTGAATGCTCACAAAACCTACACATTTTTGACCAAATAGAAGTTGTCAGCAACTTACCAGAATTTCTCTTTGACACCATCTTCAAATTTGTGCTGAATACAGAACAGACCACAAGGACCAAAAGAAATGGTGGCTTCATTGTTCACTTTGTTGTGCCTGAAAAGTCAAAAGAAAAGGAAAAAAGGAGATGGATTTAAACCAAACAACTTCTCCTCAACAACACAACATCTACAGGTTGAGCATCCCTAATCCGAAAATCCCAAACCCAAAATGACATTAGGTATATAAAGTCTATGCAAATGTTCCAAAATCTGAAACACTTCTTGTCCAGGCATTTAGATTCTCAACTTTCTAATTTTACATTTCTCAAAGACACATTACAAAATAATGGTAATCTAGTGATATCTGGCTCCATTTTTATGCAAATGAAAGAAAAGTTGAAGGTTCATATTTAATCATATCAGAGTTTCATAGTAAAAACTTTAATACCATGCATTAGATTTAGAGTAAAATCAAACTCTCCCCAGTAGACTTTCTCCCCAGTAGATGCAACTCCAAGCTGCATATTTTTATCTTTTTTTCACAAGACTCTTCTTGTTGTCTATGACCCAAGTCACTATGGTCATTTTATTTGTCATTTCCTTCTCATGGCCTTTGTACTTTATCCTGCTTTTGGAGGTCTTTATGGAGTTAGTTCCTTAACATGCTACATGCCTCATTCTCATCAAAAGGCTTTTCCCAACTACCCAATCTTAACTCCGTTATTCTTTAGCTTTCCTCTTTATTTATTTTATCCACAAGATTTATCAACACTTATAATCACTTTGTTAATGTAAAAGGAAGAGATTCTACTCAATTTTGACACTGGCATTTTTAAATTGACAGCACTATATCTTACACCATTGAGATGAAACTGTTACAAAACAAAAAAAAATTATTGAAAAAAAAAGTATGAAACAGAAGTGAGATATAATGAAGTCTTCCCATCCTATAACATGGAAACAACATTATCAGTAGGTATTTGGTAAAAAAATAAATAAAAACTATTTTAACATTGTTGTCCCCATTAAGATTTTTTAGCAAATTGGCTACCTATATGGTAGCTCATCTAGGGTCTTTTAATAATCAGAATATAAGCCCTGCAGTGGTATATTTGGCTCATCATAAACCCAAGATATAAAATGGCAAAGGGGTCTATGAGGGTGAAAGCATACAATCTTTGAAATAATGAATGGAAGAAAACCTGAAAGATAAGAACAGCCTTGGGATAATATTTAAAGATCTAGAATTCTATATGATGATTTCTTTTTTTTCAATCATTGATTTGTTCCTAAAAGTACAAAACCTTACCCAGAATATAAGAGAAACAGGGTGACACTGAGTGCTGAATGGGATCATCTTTTCCCAGAAATGGCCTCAAAGATTTGCCTGATATCCTAAAATCAGAAATTTTCCAGAGTTTGGTATCTGAGGCCACCAGCTCAATAAACCAATGCAGCTAAATTCTTATCAATACCCACTCACCTCATCAATAAACAAAGAGGACTAGGAAGGAGAATGAGGTCACATTTTGATGTGGAAGACAGGCTTTTCCTTTCCCAATTGACCCTGTGCCTACCATCAGATATTCTGGACTTCTCCCTGCACCACTAGGGAAGGATAAAGAACCCTGGGGATGCATAGTGTGTTTGATATGGCCAAATGACGAGAGAGCCAGGACTAATCTTCACCTATTTCCAACACACAGCAAATTTCAATTTCTCAAGAGGAACTGGAGATGAATTTGGAATCCAAAGGTCCAAGAAAGAATAGATAGATAGATCATTCTTGTGGGATACTTTGCAACATGGAGAAGATAAAGGTATAACAAGAGGAAAGTGACATGAAAGCATAAGCTAAACGTCTAACTGAATATGTAATCAAAAGTTACAAGGGTTGCCAGGTATGGCAATGCATGCCTGTAATCCCAGTGGCTTGAGGAGGAGGATCACAAAATCAAAGCCAGCCTCAGCAACTTATCAAGGCCCTAAACAATTTAGTGAGATCCCATCTCCAAATAAAAAAATAAAAATAAAAGGGCTGGGAATGTGGCTCAGTGGTTAAGCACCCTGGGTTTAATCCCTAGTACTAAAAAAAAAAAAAAAAAAAGCAAGGGTCTTCCAATGCCCAAAGGACATACTTGGGGACCTTTTCATTAGCAGGCTATTACAAGAAGTACCTATTTATATAGTGCCTATAGACAGCTAAAAGAGCAATTATGACCAACCAAAGACACAGAGTGATAAATGTCTTGTCTTTTCTCTATATCTCCTCCCCAGCAATTCTCCTCCCAAGACAATAATACAAAAGGCACAGGTAAAAGAGAAAGAAGAATGGGGTAAATGAAAGCCTACCAGGTACCCCCAAACTCCTAGACTAGAGCCATGTCTCATCTGTTTGAGGAAAAACAGATGATATTTGAATAAGGTAAGAGTTTGAAGTTAGTAAAGACAAAATCAAAATGAGACTCTTACAATATCTAAAAGCATTTGAAAAGTTATAGAATCAGACTTAAATATTTATCATTATCCTTTGTTTCCCAGTGGAAAAAAAATAGGTAAGTGGCAATTAGTGGGGGGGGACAATTTCATGTTCATACTCATTTAAGTTGAAACATTTCACAATAAAGTTTCTTTTACTAGCTTTTGCCACTCCTTGCCCTTTATAATGTAAGCTTTACAAGGGCAGCCATTTAGTCATTAACTGTTGTATCTTTAGCACAGTCTGAAACATAATTGATAATAAATGCTTAATGAATTAAAGAACAGGACCAACATATATTACATTATATCAAGTGAAAAGTTCAAGTAATACAAATGGATGGAAATTTTTAGTGTTTTTTTTTTAAATTATTCATTTATTTGAAAGAGAACACACTTTATCTAATACATAATTCTCTAAATCTGAGCTGTGTCTTGTCACCTGTTGTCATGAACACTGTTGGTTCCCTAATGCATGTCCTCTTGGCTCACCCTAAAATTATCCCAGATGTCTTCTTATGTTTCTTTGCCAGAAGGAACTTTCTATCTGCAAAAACAGCTTATCTAGCATAAGGGGTAGAATGGAAGTGCCATATTATTAACATGTCATGAATGATTCTTAGTCAATTATAGAAGTTGGTGAATGAATACTCCAGCTCACTCAACCCTTGGTATGTTCCAGTAGGATTGAGTGGCAACCTGCTCCTTAAAAACCCTTTATTTGCACTTCCTTCCTTCCAGTCTGACTGTGCCACTCCCTTATAATACTTCCTTGCATCATCTTCAAAATAAACTATCCACATCCAAATCTTTGTCTCATGGGGCTGGCATTGTGGCTCAGTGGTAGAACACTTGCCTGGCGTGTATGAGGCACTGGGTTTGATTCTCAGTGCCCCATATAAATAAATGAATAAAATAAAGGTTCATCAACAACTAAAAATTACATATATTAAAAAAAAATCCTTGTCTCAGAGTCTGCTTTTTGGCGAATCCAAATCAAAACTCTGAAAAAAACAAGTACTTCACACAATTCTTTATTTTCCATAGAACGTATCTACCAAACTTCCAGCTCAGAAGATTATGTATACTCTAATCCAAAGTACCTCTGTTCTTCCCTAACCCTACCACTTATTGTGAATTAGCATCTACATATCAGAGAAAACATTTGGCCTTTGATTTTTAGGATTGGCTTATTTCACTAAGCATGATAGTCTTCAGTTCCACCCATTTACCAGCAAATGCCATAAATTCATTCTTCTTTATTGTGTATTGAAGGGCAAGGTGGGGAATGGGAATAGCAATGATAGTAGAATAAATCATACATTACTATCCTATGTGCATATATAATTACATGACAAATATAATTCTACATCATGTCCAACCAGAAGAATGAGAATTTTATACTCCAAATATATATAATATGTCAAAAATATATTCTACTATCATGTATAATGAATTAGAACAAATAAAAAAGAAAAAAGATCTATACACTCTATAGACTTTTGAAAGAAGGCTTATTACTCAAACTTTTCCTAAAGTACATGCTCATACTAAATTGTATTCACCCAGTGATTAGTATGTGATCATTTTCAGTTATAATACAAGCTACACTTTATAGCTGATATTCACAGATATAACATATTAGAAAATAATAGAACCAGAAATATCTCTACCTTTTTATATAACTGACCCTCCATATTCCTTGCAAAATAAAATATTTAATGTTTGACATTGACTACAGGAATCATCATTAAAACTGAATAAGTTAATTACAGAATTACTTAATTATCACTTAAGATCAGTGGCAATTAGAAAACCTGGCCATATGAACTGTTTAAGTCCATATATTTAATCTATCTCATTTCCATAGGTGAGTCAATTAATTCAACAAATTTTGCTGAACTGCACTTTATGATAATAATATAATTTGGTGATTATTTTGTTTGTGCTCAATACTGTGGTAAACCGATATATGGCAATATATCCTCTCAACAATCTTAGGAGTTGTTATTAGCCCTACTATTCTTTTTGAAGAACTGACACTTGTGACTTACCAAGGTCGTGAGTTAGTAAACTATAGAAAAAAACATTTGACTCTAGGTCTGTATGACTACAAAGTCCAATCACTCAACCACAACTAAATTATTTTTCCCTAGAATTTAGATGCTATAGGAGTCATGAGCCAAATCTGAGATTATAAAATGTAGCTCCTTGCCTACAAGGAGCTATGACCCAACTGCAGAGATGTGTGCTTAGTGGAATGCTTATTCAAGTGTAAGACAATGAAGAACAACCTGAATATGTTAAATGGTAAGGGAATATAAAATAGGAAAAGTGTTTTGTAGCATGTTCAATAGATGATTCAGATTTCCCATTGAAAGAGAAAATATGCCAAACTCTCAATTCACTCAAAGAGAAAGGCCAGCGTAATCAATCTCCTAGCAGTATTCATCTGCAACAGCAGTCAGCCTGCAATATCATCATTGATCAAGGAATGTCTCAGAACTGTGACCACTGGGCTCCTAACATACGGTTGCACACATCTGTTTAAATACTAAAAGTGTCAGAAGCAGCTAAAGCTATCCCCTGGAAATCTTACACTGAAATTTAGGTTTATTACATTATAACTTTTCCTCT